ATGGGATCTCTTCTCAAGCAGTCCTGAAAGCAGTAATGTGGTCAACCAATATCTTAGTGATGGTTTCTCTATGCCCCATGCCCTTTTCTCCATCTATTTCTGATCCTCAATGGTCAGGCTCCACAGTTTCTGCCAATGAATGTCCATGAGGCGAGACCTGAGTGGGTCTTCCAGGAAGCATCCCATAATGTTGGTCTAGTTGGATGTCCACCTAGGGTTCTCTCTTTCCACTGGAGAAGCCATAGGCCCATGAAGGCCCTACTGGTGCAGCACTCTGCCAGATTGGGGAGGGGCAATATGGTCAGAATGTAGCTGAACCTCTTACCCTTCTAATGCAGTCCTTCTTGGTCTCTCTAGTTTAGGAGGGTGCATTTGAATCAACCCTAGGTCTGGGATTTTTATAATGGTGTCCTTTCTATGGATAGTTGTGAGGGGGAACTGAAGTTGAGAATGACTCATACCTACCATCTTGATTGGGAAACTTTCCTGTTCTAATTTCTAACCTTTTTGTTTGTGCCATGAACCCTTTATACCAGTTTATAGATCCGTTCTCCATAGAGAATAAGTATATAGAAATAAAAAAACAATTATATTGAAATATATATCAACATATTCAAAAAATAAGTTGTGATATCATGGATGTGCTTCTTGCTTAAAGCATTCAAAAATAAGATCTAGTGGCAGCTTTAATAACTAGTATAATTTTGAAGTAGTAATGACTACAAACAATACTTCGAGATATCTACCACAAATTTAATGTGATATGAAAATATTTATTATTTCTATTAGTGACAAAGTTAGAGATACTGATAATATTACTTTGGTATATTGCCCACATTGTTAATCAAATGAAATGTGAAATATCAGTTACAAGTAAAAGAAAATAGGATGCAGTATTGTTCACAACCAAATTCAGGAGCCCTGGAATTTTCCCAACGAGTCCCCAAAGGGGGCTGTGAACCCCTGGTTAGCAACCCCTGCGTTACAAATATCTTTGCAAGTTATTCTGCAACATTATTATACTACCGTCTCTGTTAACCATATTTTTTCTGCATATACTTTGTGAATATGACCACAAACTCCCTACCAACATGAATTTCCACAGCATTTAAGAATCATTTATAAGCAATAATGTTCCAAAATAGAGCATACTTTTATTTTTCCCTTAAGGCTTTAATTAACTTTTTGAAACTCTTAGTTTCATTTCTTTGTCAATGTTCTATATGTAAGTATGTCTACAGATATTTAATTTTTACCACTGATATCCTAAAAACACTAACTGGTCTGAGATTTTTCTCTCAATAGATCAAATTAAATTATCCTGAAGCAGATTTTCAAAGATGAAGTGACCCTACAAATCACCTAAATTTAGTGCACATTATTTGGAACTAACTCATAACTGCATCTATTAAAAGCTCCTCAATAATTTCAGGATATGATTACTTTTAAGTGTTTCTATGTGCTGTAAGTAGTTTTGGACATTTCAACTTCTTCCACATTGTAAACTCAGTTTCTAATTTAGACTTAGATATTTTTAAATAGAAGAGATATTAGTATTTTCATTTATTAATAACCTTAAAACTTGAGCTTGATCTTGCTAATTTTTATTTTATTTTATTAAGACATTTATCCTGCCAGACAACTAATAGAGTTTAGGTATTTGGCAGGAAAAGCCTATTGACCCACACTAGGAGAGAGAATACTGGTGTCAATTCCAGTCCCTCGAAAGTAATGTGTCCTTAATTGTTTTTTGTTGTTTTGTTGTTATGAGGAGACAACCACGCCACATGAGCAACAAACTACGTTTATGCATGGATGGAGTTGAGCACTGTAATCAACTAGAGCTTACAACAAAGTTAATCTGATGATACATATTTAATGTTATGCATTATCGATGTGCTACATGGTAATTAGACATAAATAGCAAACAGCTCCGATGAATGGCAAATTGATATTACTTTTGCATCACTGAAGCCAATGTTTCTGGGATGGGATGGAGAAGGAGACACTGGTGATTCTAATCTTTCTTCTTTCCGAGGGTGCGAGCACTCTTTTGGGTGCTGGAAACTGAAATAATTGTTTCAACCCAGGGATTTCCTGCTTACCAGAAGATACTGAGACATTTGATTGGTCTGGATAAACGCAACATTAACTTCAATAACCCAGGTGAGTTACTCACCAGTTGTGCCTTGTATGTATCCAAGCAGCGCAATTCCAATCATGCATACTAGTAAATTGTATGTTAAATTGTTTTCTACTACAATCATAACTAAGAAAATGAGTTTTGATTGAGAAGGCGAAGAAATGAGAGAAAATTATAGAGTATCTGGCAATGATTGAGAAGGAAAGCAGTCTGGGGTGGGGAAAGAAAAAGGCCTCAACAAAAAGCAGGCACAAAATTGGTGGGGCAAAGCATGCAAGGGGTAAAACATACAAATATGTGAAAACCAGTAAGAGGTAGAAGCTTAGAAAAGGGAAGGGAGATCTAGAAAAGAGGAAGAGACAAGACAGGCTCAGAGAAGCACAGGGTGTTACATGCACAAAAGAATCCTGGCAGGATCAGCACTTGGTGATTCTCCTTCACTCACCTTCCCAGAGTACAATCTAATAATAATGTGATTTCTTAAGCAGTTGTTTTGTCATGATGGATAAGATTAAGCCCACAAATTCAACAATTTAGAGGTAATTTACTACCATCTCTAAATTATAAGCAATTCATTCCTCCCAACTGGATCAATTTAAAGAGAGAAACAACTTTATATTATTTATGCTACAAAAATTCCAGGTAATACATTTTTATAGACACATGTTAAAAACGTGTTGCATAGTAAAGGGACACTTATAGCGACAATCTTTCTCTTCTTACATTCCCTAAAGAGGTGAAAACATGACTTAAAAATAGTTTTTAATGTTGCCAGGAAATAAATACCACAGTAGCATTCCGCATATTTACATTATTTATTTACCAAGGCATATGAAGAAAAAACTACACAGTTTTAATGGGTAGAATAAATGACTGCATTGATTAATTCTTCAAAATATGGTTCTATTTTACTATACTTGGGTTATACAGAAAAAAACTAGAAAGCTTCAATTATTAAGTAGGGGTCAGATATTTGTGTGATTTTTTTTATAATTTAAATTTAAACTTCCAATTGAAAAAAAGAGAGAACTAAGTCACATTTAGGCTTAATGCTGTCCTCATTCTGACTAGTGCACAGAGAAGCACGGGACAAAGGAGGACAGGAGACATGTGCTCAGCTCTGCATTTCCACTCACAGAACTATGGACTTGCTAGTTGCACAGAGAAAAACAGTTTTCTAAAAACAGTTTTCTAAAAATTTTACCACAAGGGGATTTTTACTGAGAATAATATACTGAGTGTGTCATGATAATGAAGAGCTTATATCAACTGACTAAACCTTAGTCCTATAGAAAGTGAACATATTTAAAACATATGCATAAGGTAAACTACGAAATGAAGGAACGGTAAACAATAATATAAACAGAGCCACTTTAAAACAGAGCCAGAGCTGCCATGTCAGAGAAACTGGCTTGTACATCTCATGACTTAAATCTTCAGGATGTTAAAACAGGGCAAAATAACCTTTGGATTGGCCTAAGCAACCTTGTGCCTTGAAAAAGACCTGTTTGCAAAGATAACAAGAAAGCAATTATTATGATTACTGGACTGATGACTACTGGATTAACAAAATAGCCAAAACAACAACAACAAAAACAACAAAAAACACTGTTTAGAATTAACACCACTATGTTTGTTTGTTATCTGTACCAATAGAAATGCCTTCCTCTACTAATGCAATTATTCCCCTTCCCTTTTCTCATAAACACTCATTGCCTTTGTCTCCAAACTGGAACACCAGTTGAGCTTCTGCCTGAATCAGTGTTTCCAGAATAGCTATTCTTAGTGATCTCAAATAAATACTTGTTTGCCTCTCACTTTGAAAGGTCTTTTACTTTTAGGTTAACAGAAATTCCATATAGACACAACCTGCTCAAATGACAAACACTGGTTCTCTGAGATTTAGAGACAGGCTGAGGAAGATATGGCACAATTATGACAGCATAAACTACCAGTCTTCTTAAAATCAAAGCAAATGGCATGGCTCAACAACAAACAACAAAAAACTACAATGACTGCCTTTCTACAGCAAATCTCTGCAGTGTTTCTTCCTAGAAATTAAAACAGACAGGGGCAGACATACCAAGAATTCTAATAATATGTTAGATTTCTAGAATAAAGCACTTTTTGGATGAAATCATCACAGTGGCCCTGTGATCTCAGATGACGATGCAGAGATAAAGCAAGCCAAACCTGTCTGCCCACAGGAGGCAGAATAATAGACTAGAAAGATCAATGGTTTTAGAGTCATGACAGACAGACATTGTTCTGAAGCCCAGCTCTGCTACTTTGCCCCTCACCAGCTATGTGACATGTGGCAATCTCTCTAAGCCTCAGTTTCCTTATTTGGGAAATGAGGATGTTAGTACTGATCTCATAAGATTGCTGTAGGAGTCAATGAAATGAAATATATCAAATGCTTGGCACAATGCCCAGCATACGTTCAGTGCCGAACAAAGGATAACTTTACCATTTACCCACTGATCCTGAGCAAGCTATTTAACCTGTTGGCCTCTTCTCTTTTACATCCATAAAATGATAATAACGGTATCTACTTTACAGAGTCACTATGATGATGACATACATGCAATTTTCTGTACAGTGAATAATAGGGAATGATATGTCTACATATGCATAAACTTAAATTAAAAACACACACACACATGTTTAATAAATGGAAGAAATAGAAACAGAACCTAGATCTTCTACGTTAAGTACTCTGACTATCAACACAGCTAGATACTCCTGATTGTATAATCCAAATATAGAAGAATATTTCCTTACAACTCCATTCTAGAAGACAGCAACGTAGGAATACCTGTGAAAATAAATTTTAAAAGGAAAATATGCAAGTTACCTGAATTAAGGCTTCAGTCAACAAGTCTTCATTGACCTCCAAAATAATGTTTTTTATATCTTCGTATGGCATACGATATGATCCAAGGAAGATAGCTAAAATAAAAATAGAGTTTATTAAAAACAGAACAGCATAAAATTTTTAACATCCTAATAAATACCTGATTCCCATTTCATAGACTTGAAACATGAAAATTCTGTAACTAATATTAATTTACAGAGTTATGAACAAACAAAAGTACCTCCCATTCAAAGTACTACACTACTACACTCATAAACACTCATTGCCTTTGTCTCCAAACTGGAACACCAGTTGAGCTTCTACCAGTAATAGGTAAAATGGCCTGTTATCACAGGATCTAATGTTTACAGCTAACATATTTATATACAAAATAAAATTCATACTAATAGTAGTGACAACTACATGTTTATGCATTTTAGATTGAGCTGATACAAAATGACCCATGAAAAGTTAGAGATTTGATTTCAAGTGGGCCTTTTAATTCAAAGTAGAATTCAGTGTGGAGATTGTCAGATGCATCCAACACAGTACTTCTCAGGAATGACAATAAAGTAACCAAATACAAGAAAAGCATATCAAGTTATATAGCATTTCTCCCATATAGGAAATAATTAAAGGGTCTGAACATCATTGCTCTCTGCATTCCTGCTGACATTCACGTGCTACACTAATAGTTGCTTTATATGTTGAATCACAATTTCCCTTGTCAACATCTTCTTAATTAAATACATATTCTGTCATATTAAAATAATTCAATAAATTATACTCAGAAAAGCTTATGCTTACTCAGAAAGTATTTTTCAATAATACATTATACTTTAGCCTCCACTACACATACCTTTGAAAGAACATTTGTTTGTTCTTATCACCAGAACAGGAATATATTCCTAAGAATTTTTTTTCATGTAAAGGTCCCTATGACTTCTCTGGCACTTAAAAAAAATCCATACTGTCTAGGTACATTATTACCTAGATGTCAACACCAAGTGGGATCTCCATAATCAAAATTAATAATGTTGACAGATATCAACTAGCAATTAAGATAATACTGTGTTTTAAAAAACACACAACACTAAACATCCACTTTATAAAGAAAATGTACTACTGGCAGGTGTGTCTCAATTGGTGAGCGCTGATCTGTGCACCAAGAGGTCAATGGTTAAATTCCTGGTCAGGGCACATGCCCAGGTTATGGGTTGGATTCCCAGTAGGGTGTGTTGCAGGAGGCAGCTGGTTGATGTTTCTCTCTCTCTCTCTCTCTATCTCTCTCTCTCTCTCTTTCCCTTTCTCTCCCTCCCTCCCTCCCTCCCTGCTCCCTTCCTCTCTCTCTTAAAAAAATCAATGAAAACATATTTACGAAAAAAATGTACCATCAGATAAGCATCATACACATTCACAATAGCTATTTGGAGACTGCTATTCCGACAGCAACATTCCGGCTGACAGGAGAATGATGAGCTGTTTATTTCAATCGGATTCCCTATAGCACGTTTTTTAACAAAAGAAACTCCTATGGCATCTCTGTGCGCAATTAGAAATGCTTGATGTGTTGAAATTTCTCATGCAGAGTGTTTTAGTATTCTCAGAATATAAACACAGTCTACTGTGGTGACAAAGAATGCTAAATTCAATACAGAGGGGGAAATTTGTCAAAGTAAAACATAAGGCCTACTTAAATGAAGACGGCTTTAACTGTCCGGCTGCTTTAATGAAAGTATACTTAAGGGCTGACTGGTTTGTAAAAGGTTTTAAGGTTTAGTAACCAGTTTTAAAGTGCAGTGGTTAACCATTTATCTAGCTCCCATCACGATTACTTCAAACGTAAAGGAGGATCAGAAAAGGATTTGCCCAATGGGACTAGTGAATACGCTAAACCTGTCACTGCCAAGCCGAGGCAGAAGGAAAACAAAACTCTTTACAGCTCTGCCACAGGTCTCACTGGTCCTCTGACAAGGTCGAATTATCAGCACTTTCCAAAACTTTATTATTCATACATTTCGTCAAACCTGAGGAAGACTAAATTATGGTGGCCTCCTATTCTGGCTGAACCACAAAAAGGAAAACCAAATCATGTTTACACAGAATTGTGTTTCTGGTAGATGCTAAACATGCCTGTTCGAAGAAGTTACAACTTTGTTTAAATCCATTCAATAACCACCCTCTCACCACCATCCTATACACGAAATAGCACATACACAGATTCTGGGCCGTTTTGGGATCCAAAACTCTCAGCTCTTTCACCCTCTTCTTGGTAGGTTGGGGCTTCTCCTCCAAAGCTTCTGCATTCTTTTGAACTGAAAGAAAAATGTTGATTCATAAACAATAATGGCGCTAATCCAAATGCACGGAATAACATTACTAAGGCATATTAACTACATTAATAAAGTGCATGCGAAAATCAATAAATGTGTTTATTTCATTAGTTCAAGGAAGAGGATAAACATAAAAATATAGACTTGTTTAGAGGTTTCCCAACAAATTAAATATCAGCACTTAAGCAGAAAAGATAAGCCAAATAGAACCAAAAATCAATTGCTGCTTCTTAACTAATGTGCAACATTAATTACTCCTTTACCAGGTACCTAGAAGCAGCACTGGAATTAAATATATAGTAAAATCTCCCTAATTTGGACTAATTGAGGAAAAAGACATGCATTTATCCTAACATGCTAAAATTTAGGCATCCCTTTAATTCAGTGAAATTGCTTTGAAGTACCTAAGGTAACTTAACTGCTAAACAGGTTGCCATATAAAAATTCCTGCTGAGACTGATCTGAAGAATAGAAATGAACCATTTGCAACTTGCACAACAGTAGCACCCATTTGCTTAAACATAATTAACAAACCTCAGAGACAGGTCTTTTGAGTAAGTTAGCTTTCTCCCTCACCATTTTTTAGTACTGTTTGCTTTCTTAGAAAAGAAGATATATTTATGCTGTATTCAAAAGGTAATCCTATAGTTCATAAAGAATTCAAATGACCTGAAACTGTGTAGAGTGGTAGTTCCAAGGAGTGGCTTTAGCTCCCCATTACCTCCATCAGCCCTCCCCCAAATAAGCCATCCCAAAAACCAAAGTAAAAGGCAACTTGGCCAGCTGGCTGCTATGAAAATGAAGCTTTATGGCAGGCGAATCCCTAAACCATCCAATACAGAAATTCAGCAGCTACCATTGTATTCACTCATGTGTTACCAGTTTACTTCTAATATAAAAATAAGTTTTTAGGTAATGGGGCCATAAAAAAATGAGTAAAGTAAAGCCAACATTTTTGTTTGATCAAGTGAAATGATATACTCTTGCCCCCAAACTCATGTTCCTAAATTTCATCACTCAATTATATAGTCATAATCCTGCTCTTTATTACTTTAAATTTTGAGGCAATAATTATCTTTAGTATTTTAAGTTATCTGACTTTAGTACAGAGATCACAAAGGAGTTACTGATTTTCATTAGAGGAAAAATCAACACAACCACAGTACATTTTGCTTAGCTATGTGTTCACAGATGTTAGCATCTGGAAAACTTTCTGGACATATTACAGAAGGTATCAAAATACTACAGGTCCATTAAGACCAACTTTTTTTTCATGGTGCAAAATACATGAAAATCAAATAACTTACTATAAAATAAATTATCTGAATAACTAAAGTCCTAACAGTTCTAAACTTTACCAGTATCACCAACCTAAAATGACTTAGAGTCTAAGGAGACTAGATAGTAATTACACTTAAAAATCATAATCTTTTTCAGAGATGACAAGTAATTTGCCATCTTTACTCAACACAATAGTTATTGCTAGTGCTGGAAGAAAAATGACTTTTTTTCAAAAAATATTTCATTGATTTTTTACAGAGAGGAAGCAAGAGGGATAGAGAGTTAGAAACATCGATGAGAAAGAAACATTGATCAGCTGCCTCCTGCATGCCCCCTACTGGGGATCAAGCCTGCAACCAAGGTACATGCCCTCGACCAGAATCGAACCCGGGACCCTTCAGTCCACAGCCCGACGCTCTATCCACTGAGCCAAACCGGTCAGGGCAAGAAAAATGACTTTTAATGTATTTCTTTTAAAATCATCACATATGTTCCTCAAATGATCTTTCTAAGAGCACAGAGTCTTTCCTATGCAATCATCAGCATTTTAATTGATTCAATTTTCAAGCCACCCCCAGCTTAAGACAACTATATAAAGAAATGACAGTCCAAGAGTCATTCCCTTTGTCAATAAAAAAATTATTATCTGAATCATACTGAAATTACTTCTAAAATCATTCATTAGTTTTAACCCAAAGTAATAGCCAAGACAACTGTCCTAATTTCTCGATATGTTTTAAACCCCATTACAGGAGACTGATTAAGCAAGTATATATAGGATAAAAATACTGTAGCATGAAGGATACATTAAGATTATTCTGCAAACTAACAGCCTCCTGATTATCCTAGACAGACATAATGCTCATTTTGTATGCCTCATTTTTGCATTTTTCATTAAAATAGACTTCATCCTCTCTCCTCTTTAAATGAACAAGTTATTTAAAATTAAGATTAGATGTCTCAAATATCTAGAGTTCACAGTTTTGTTTTTTGAATCCTACTATATTTCTCTTGTATTATGTATGCAATTTGGCTTCATCCTGGGTTCAAGAAATGGTAAGAATTCCATGAGTGGGTGCTACTGTTCTGAGAATTACTAGAGAAAAGCTAGTTTAAAATAGCCTCTTAATTAGACAGACTTTCACAAACAATAATGGTTCGTGATCATTAGATATTGCCCAGTGGCTGTTACTGCCCTTTGCTTTCTTGTCTCTAAAAGCATCCTTAGCAATCACAACCACAGGCTTGGTAGAGAATTTGAAGAGAGGCAATGATACATAAAATTTACCTAACTAGTATTAAAGGCTTCATATATTAAAATTTTCCTGTTTTCATAATGACTACAAAATGCCATTTGTCCTACTAGGCTTTTATTCCATATATGTTTCTAATGCTCACAAAACTTTAATATCCCATAACTTGATTAAAAAATGAACAATTACATAACTTGATTAAAACTTGAATTGTTATTTCTCCAAAGAAGACATACAAATGGCCATCAGATATAGGAAAATATGTTCAACATCATTAATCATGAGGAAAATGCAAATCAAAATTACAATATCACCTCACATCTGTTAGGATGGCTATTATTTAAAAAAAAGATGTGTTAGTGAGGATGTGGAGAAATTGAAACCTGTGTACATTGTTGGTAGGAATATAAAATGGTGCAGCCTCTCTAGAAAAAAGTATGACAATTTCTCAAATAATGAAAGATAGTGGTACCATATGACCCAGCAATCAATTCTGGGTACATATCCAAAAAAACTGAAATCAGGATCTCAAAGAAATATCTGCATTCCCATGTATACTGCAGCATTATTCACAATAGCCAAAATATGGAAACAACCTATATGTCCATTAAGGAATGAATGAATAAAGAAGAGGTGACACACACACAAAATGGAATATTATTTGGCCTTTATGAATAAGGAAATCCCACCTATGAACCTAGAAGACATGTTAACTGTAATAAGTGAACCACAGAAGGATCAATGCTTATATAAGTAATCTAAATGCTTTATGTAAATGCTTTAAATTACTTATATTAGCAATCTAAAATGTAAAACTCATGGAAATAAAGAGTAGAATGGTGGTTGCCAGGGGTTGGAGGGTGGGGGGAATAGAGAGCTGCTGTTCAAATGGAATAAAGTTTCAGTTATATAAGATGAATAAGTTCTAGAGATCTGCAGCACACCATTGTATCTACAGTCTACAATACTATACTGTACACTTAAAAAACGTTAAGAAGGTATACCTCTGATTAAATGTGCATATAACAATAAAATATAAATTATTTAAAAACTTAAAATAAATTATAGAGATTCTATAATTATTTGAAATTACTTTGATGCGACTGAAGAGATTTTAAACTTCAACACAAAAACTCAAGAACTGATTTAGTCATCAATGGCTCTATGGTCCGCAGGCCCAAAATGAGACCTCCAGTCAATGCAATCTCTCACTGAGCATAAGAAAAGCCATATAGCCACTACGTTTGAATCCAATGGATTGAATTAATTTGGGTTCATAAATTGGCACAGCTAACTGACCAACAATACTGAAACATTATAAAATACTGTCGGTAGGAAGATAATGATATAATAATAAAGCATTTGTATTATTATTAAAGATATGCTAACATCAAGATACTCATTATCTAAGGTAAAATGCCCACTGAGCATTCTTCTATTTCCTTTAATTCATGGATTTTTACATGCAACTGTAGTATAAATTTATTCCTTTACAACTGAGGGATTTTCATCAGCGTAAATAAAGTAAACATGATTATATTCTTTCCCCAATCAAATTTAGGCAATATTCAGAAATTTCCTATTAATTTCCACTATCCCAGTGGATGCATAGAACATGTGACAAAATGTGTAATTTGTAGCAAATATTAAGATATTAGAAATGGGCAACATTGAGTGATTTGCACAGTGATAACTAATCATAAATAATACAAATTTTATAACTATTTTAATTTATTTAAAAATTCCAGTAAGAAAGATTGATTGCTAAAGTCAGAATACTAGTCATTCATTCATTTATTCATTCTTTCACCAGCAAATACTTGTCACCTTCACAATGTGTTAGCCTAGCATGAGTGTACAATTGTACACAAGACTGAAATATCTACTCATACTCTTAAATACATGGTTATATGTAAACTCCTAATTATGGCAGTATCTCTAAAAGATATTTAGCATCCATAATTTTCTTATCAATAACAATATATCTTAAATTAATACGTACATATCACTAATAAAATCTCTTCTTGCTGTTGATAGCCATAGTTCCACATTAGAGAATATTGCATCTCTTAATCAGCATCATCTGATGTGTCACATCATATTATAAGGATTATGTGGAGAAGTGACACTTTCTATTAAGTGTACTATATATAAAGCCAGGGTAAATAATGCTAACAGTAGTGTCAAAACCATACTAAAAATATATGTAAGTTCATGTACATATATATGTATAATCAATAAGTAAATGCCCAACTGCTGTTTTACATATATCACATAAATATAGGGATTGTGATCTCCCTGCATAAATACATATTTTATCCACATGTATACAATTCCAGAAGTGATTCTAATTATATTCTATACTCTAATATTGTTTTCCTGTATGAGTTGAAATAGGTGTTATTTTAACTCAATTAATAAGTCAATGTTAAAATGAGTGCAAGTATG